AGAGTAGTATTGAAAAAAATAATGATGGGTAAATGAGTGAATGGGATAAAGCAGGATTAAGCAAGGGAGGGTTACATCATGTGAAGTATATGTATGTGTCTGACGAAGGAAAACAGGTTGTCAAAGCAGAAAATGTGTCTGGCATGTTGAGAGGTCGGTGAAAGGAGGATAGGTGAAGGAAAACAGAGGTAATGGCTGCAATAAAGAGGGGACAGGACAACAGAATGTGTGAAACTGAAAGAGAAACATTACTTAGGGGACGCTGGAGCGGATCAGAACGTAACTTCAGATATGAGTGTTAGGCGGGTGTGGCAAACACACACACACCGAGGGCCTTCCCGAGAGAGGCCCTCGAGAAGCGAGGGAGAGGTGAATGTGCAGTTCCAAACTCCATAAACAATAATCTTTGCGTGAACCATTGTACAATGGAACTGTCGAAGTCTTGGAATAAAAGTAAATGACCTTAGGTTATTTGCCTCGTCTTATGCTCCCGATATCATAGTCCTCCAAGAAACGCATTTAAATCACTTTGTCTCTGACGAGGTCGTTTCGCTGAGAAATTATCATCTGTGTCGGAAGGATCGAGAGGGTACGGGTGGAGGTGGAGTCGCCATGTACAGCTGCGGAATTATATTTCAGTACACCTGCTGAGTCCCACTTTTGTATATCTGGCAACAACATCGATGTAAACATAGAGTAAATAGTATCTTTATGAATGAAGCGAAAACCATGGGCTGTTTTTAACAAGGAGTGTATCAGTTTCTATTTTTGGAAACTAATTGTTTGTTTATCGGAATGGCATCATCTATGGCGTTGAGGCAGTATGCCCCCTTCTTTCAACACAATATTTTTAAATTATAGTGCATATTTCTAGAAACATGAAAGTGCTTCATTCTTAAAAAGCCTACATATAGCAGCTAAATCAAATAATGTTGATACCTTTGTAAATGCTTGTCGTGGGCCGTGGCTACACCATTTAGTCGCGGTTAATCGAACTAATGTTTTTTTTCTTTACGCCACCAAACACTGATTAATATCAGTATCGCAGGTTTGCTACACTGACAATAAAAAAAATCTTCCAAAATTAAAAACATCATTCATGAGGGTTCTGATTTTGATTCGCCTAGAGACATTGCTAAGGCACTTGCCAGGAAGTTCTCTCATACAAGCAGCTCAGCAAATTACTATCCCGCATTCTTGACCACCAAGGAAGCGGCTGAGCTGTAATCTTTACTCTTTGCCACGGGAGATGACTTAGATTACAACCAAGATCTAACAATGGATGAGCTTGCCCGAACCCTAGATGTCTGTAGAAGAACGTCCCCAGGCCCCGATGAGATTCGATACGAGATGATAAAGCTTCTTAATTATAATTCCATGATTGAGTTTCTAGGAGTGTACAATGAGACTTTTCCAAATTCAAGGTACTCCGCCCACATCGTTCCCGTAATGAAAGGAGGGGGAAATCCCAGATTCGCCATTTCTTACCGCCTAATTGCGTTAACATGGTCATGGAACGAATTATTAACAGTAAGGTATTGCATCTTTTACATTTTCGGCCAATCGCATCCAACTGGCAGTGGATATAATTCATAATTCATGAAAGGTTTGGATGTTGTTGAGAATGCTTGCTTACATGTGTTTCTTGGAGCCCTGAAATGCACTCGGATCGAGCGTCTTAAGGTGGAGGCAGGAGTACCTCCCTCCTACTCAGACGCAACCAGCAGACGCTGATCTATGCCACCAAAATTTCCAGAGAGCCAAGTCACCCTAAGGGAAATGCTTTGCTTCGGCATTTGCGCCCGGAGGGCCGTGGCGCTAGACACCTCACCAATAGACTCCACGACCTCGTCGAGAAAGTCGGTATAGATCTCTCTCTTCCATCGAAACCCTGGTTCATTCAAATATAGTTCCATTGGAAACTCCCACATTTATCATCGTGGATGCTTGGTTTCCATCAGCCAAGGCCATGGTACCGGAGGCGGAGGTACGCCAGAGATACCCTTATCACACATCTTTCCTTTTTTCATATATATATACCGATGGCCCCAAGAGAAATGAGTGTGTGGGTGCAGATGTATAGTCGAAGGAAGGTCAACTGAGGCTAAGACGGCCGCCTCATACATCGATTTTTTTGTAACTGATAAAGCCTTGGATTTTGCATTTTCGACGACTCACGATCGTGTAGTATTTTTTTCTGATTCATTAAGTTCACTTAAAGCCATTAAATCCTGAGAAACCACAAACATTAACTGTTGGGTAATATCATTAGTAAGCTACATAGTATCAATAAATCAATCAAGCTAATATGGGTACCAGGCCACTCTGGTATCTATGGCAATGAACAGGCTGTTAAATTAGCCGAGTCAACTGGTGATTTGGACCTTAGCATAGTCTGTATAGATCTCAGGTGTTTTGTTTTCTTCATAAAAGCAAAAATCCATCTCCAGTGGTAAAGTGAGTGGACCATCCTTAACATTAATAACAAACAAACCTATCATGGACACAGCCCACAGGAAAGTCAGAAGGAAGGAGGTTGTATTGGCCTGGCTCAAGGTCATTGTCATAAAATTGACCCACCTAACCCCATATATCAAGAGAAACTTCCCTCCTCAATGACCACATTGCACCAACCGCTTCACAATGCCACACATCTTAAAATCATGTCATAAATATAATGCCAAAAGACAAAGCTTAAAAATTACATCAGATCCCAAAGCATAGTTTTCATAACAACAAATGTACAATTAGATAATGAAAGAACTTTTTTTAAGGAAGACAAAACTTTATCTTATACAGATTGAAATAATGAACATGATCTATTGGTTTAATGATCTTGACTGGCTGTGTTAAGATGTGGCCATATGCCGCTGGTCGATAGCCAAGAAATTCAACAAGCAAGCAAGCCCTAGAGGTACAGAGTCATGGCTCACTGGTATGTGGACACCCCCTGGCTCCATATCAACTCCTGTCCCTCAGCTTCCTGGGGTCAATGGGTGGCTCAGGGAGGAGGGCCTTGCCAGTCCTCCTCCCCCCAAATAAAACTCTCTAGCAACTATTATTAATGGAAATGCAGAGGGGGAGTGGTACCCTCTTACCCAGCAAGTGAAGCGGGATGTGGGTCCCGTTGGGAGAGCGACTTTCTGGGCCACAGGTTGAGAACAGGAGTTATTTGTCCCGCCCGCACCCTGGCATCTGGCTCCTGGTATCAGCGCTGCAACCTGCCTCACTGAATGTGGTATAGCAAAATGGGTACTGTAACCAAGGTGATCGACCACATTTTTATCAGCACTCACTGGAGTGCTGATAAAAATCGGCACTCTGGTTTACCGGGGTGCCGAGTTCTGGTTGTGGCTACAGTCCACTTCAAAACTCCTCATCCCTCCAATGACCACTCTAGGTGTTTTACTTGGACAGATTGAGGGAGGAGTGTGCCCAGAAGTTTGCCATGGCAGGCTCTGATCGATTCACAGAACCTGACGGACCCAGTAACTCTGTAGGAGTCCCTCAGGCTTGAAACACTTGAAACACAGCAGGAGCCCATTGGCAAATGCCCAAGGGTAAGAATTTCATCTCATTGAAGACACTGGAGGCCACAGTAGCATGCCGCATGGCTTGGCTGAATGGCAATCAGGACTTGCACCATTCCATGGTGTGCAGGGCTAGGACACTGCTGAGAAGGGACAAGGAACAGTTATTAGGAACCTTGCTGAGAAGGGACTGTAGCAACTACCATGGCATCACATTTCACCCACATTCTTCTGAAACGGATCCGTCACCACCTAAGGAAACAGAGACCAGGGCAGTCTGGATTCACTCCTGGTAAGTTCACAATAGATTGTATCCTATCGCTTCAAGTCACTGTGGAATGCCTTCATGAGTTCAGTCGTGGGTTGCTTGCAGCTTACACCAACCTCAAGAAGGCTTTGACACAGTGCATCGTGAATCGCTATGGATTCTGAGACTTAGGGGAACTCCAACACGGATTATTGGCTTAATAGCAAGCCTATATTCTGAAAGTGTGGTGGGGGCCTATCGAACTTCTTCCCTGTTAATTCAGGGGTGAGGCAAAGCTGTGCCTTTCCTCAATACTTTTCAATACCTGCATGGACTGGATAATGGGCAGAGCTACTATACAAAGTCAGTATAGGATAACAAAATTGTCAGCAAAGTCAAGGTCACTGACCTTGACTCTGCCGAGAATTGTGCGTAGCCATGTCTCTGGGCTGTCAGACCAAGAAGTTGGTAGGCGGATTGGTCCGGCAGCAGAAGTCATGATCAATAACAGCATTGATCAATAACAGCATTTGATGTCGGTACCTATGCAGGACTAGGCTACATGTCTTCAAGGCCTTGATACTGCCAGTTTTGCTTTATGGGAGCGAAACTTGGGCGCTATCTAGTGCCTTGGAGTCTCATCTTGATGCCTTTTGTAATAAGTCCCTTTGCCAGATCATGGGGTACAGTTGCCAGGACCATGTGTTCAACCGACGACTACAGTGTGAGATGCAGGGAGTTACAGACAGGCCAAGGGCCCGCCTGGAGACTTGACATGAAGGACCCCTGTGGGTGGAAGCGAATGGTGGATGTGGCCATACGTCCCTGTCCACGTTAGCCCTCCGATGATGATGATGATGATGATAATGATTGTCAACAATACATAGCAAGACCGGATGGCAGACTTCACACCTCCATCCAAGCAGCTGCTTTTCTCCTTGGGCAGGACACAGGTGCTGCCTAGCTTTCTCTTTTTGCACAGGACATCCGCCCTCCAAGGAAACCGCCGCATATGTGTGTGTGTGTGTGTGTGTGTGTGTGTGTGTGTGTGTGTGTGTGTGTGTGTGTGTGTGTGTGTGTGTGTGTGTGTGTGTGTGTGTGTGTGTGTGTGTGTGTTGTGTGTGTGTGTCTATCTATTTACCCATCTATCTATCGTAGGAGATTATTGCACACAGTAAAAAAATAAAAAATAAATCACTTTTAAATGTTAAGGAAACACAGTCACATGAAGTATGTTTATTAAAATCACAAACAATCATCTGAAGATGATCCTTAATAAGGGACTAGAATATCATTGACTCAGAAAATACTGATACATTCATAGTCATTGCAAAAATCATAGTTCTTACAGCAGTAGTATGGTAACGCTATTTGTAAAAATAATGAAAATATAATTAAAACATAAAATAATATGTTGCAATATAGTAATAGTGATGAATATTATACATCAATGAGCAAAATACCATTTCTAGTGTTAGTCAAAATAATTATGTCAATTTTAGTTGCAATAATAATGCTAACAATAATAATATTGCTAATCATGATAATAATAACAAAAAAATGATGACCTTGAAAGTCCTATTACCATATAATGTTCATAATAATTAAGATAAAAACAATAAAAAATATAAACGTTACAGTAAACTGAAAACTACATTTTCTCTACCAGCTGGAACATCTACTGCAGAACAATTTGACATGAGATTCTATATACATATTAAACAAAATGTGGGAGACCATTCAACATGATTTCAAATGTTCAATATCCACTGTCTTAAATAATGAAAACATCTGCACATCTGCCCTTTGGTAAATATATCTTGTAGTTTCATTTTTTTTGCATCACTACTGCTTGTCTTTACTTAAAGCATGCATTCCCTGAAAAGTTTGTGCATACTATGAAGTGTGAAACATTTATAAGAAGCATTTATTGATATATTTTTTACTTCTCTTTTTTCCTGACACTGACAGCCAAAAGCAATATATTTTTCTTTCTTTTTTTTTGTAAAAATATCAATTCATGGAAGCAACTGCAGAGGTCCAACTCATAGTATTTTATCATTGCAGAACTTCTTAATACTATCACATGCATTCAAGTCTAAAATATAAAAATGATAACCATAACAATGATGGTACTGGTGATAATGATAAAAATAATAATGATAATAACAATAATGATGATGATGATGATAATAAAAATAAAAATAATAATAATAATAAAATACAATTAAAAGGTTGTACATTTTGTCCTTAAAATGAATTCTCAGAAAACATATTATGCAAATCCTTGTCAAAAATGTAAATCATTTAATCAAACATAAAGATCATTGCTGTCGATCAAAACATTTATTTTCAAAATATATACTATCACTTCAATCAATAAAAAAACTCACTTAATCAACTTAAAGTAATTCCTGTCTAAATCAGTTATCATTAATGTGATATTCTTGTCCATGCAATGCAATTCTTTGTATTATCATAATCTTCCATTAGCACTTACTCTCACTGCAGAGAAAGATGTGATTATGCATACACATTATTCAATAATGTTCACTAAAGAAAATAGTGATAGTGAAACTGTACAAAGACTTGGTTCTGTTTGAAGCATAATGGATCCTGCTTATCGAAGGAAGTCAATACCATGACCACAGTTCTAAAATTATAATACAATAAAAAAAAAAAAAAATCATGGCTTTCAGGTATGTTCTTAAAATGTAAAACACTTTTTTAGATTACTAATAAATAAAGCTTACCATTATTTAATGACAATAAAGGGAGCAAAGGGGGTAAAAGGGAGAGAGGGTAAGGGACGTAAGGCAAGGATGGGTAAGAATGAAGCTTCAACTTTCCTTAAATCTTAAATGTATGAGGCAAGGAATGTGATAACATAAATTCAAATATGACTGGATTCCTTTGTGCCACTGAAATAAAACAAGATAATAAATCATAAATAAGAAATAGGAGAAAAAAGTTTAAGTAACACAAGCATCAGATGACAAAAAAAATGTTTCTAACTAATATTAAAAAAAACAATGATAATACTAAATGATAAATAAAACATCTAGGGAAAAGAGCATTAAACCCACTCAACAACATTATATTAATAACAAAACCATATGATTTTCTAGTTTTCTAAACAGAAGCCTTTAAATGGACGTTTATATTTATGAATTAGGTAGATTATTGGATAATACTATCAATAATACTCTATGAAGAAAATACAAACTAAGAAATGTAAAGACAGACTAATCATGTTACAATGGATACATAATTCTTTAAAAATTCTATAGAAATAAAAAAAAAAAGCTTTTATGGAATTCTTCTTTTAAAATTATTAATAAAAATTCTATAGAAATGAAAAAAAAAGCTTTCATGGAATTCTTCTTTTAAAATTATTAATAATCTTAAACAAAAATAAATGGATAAATAATAATATCAATAACATTCAGTAACAATAACTTAAAGACTCAAGTAACACTTCAAAGAGCAGAGTTAAGAGTATTTCAAATCATGTCTTAAAATAACAAAAAAAAAATTGATCAATATTGCTATCCAAATGCCATCACAAATCTTGCAATTTTCCCCCAAAAAGGCAAAAGGTAATGCCATACATCCTATACTATGTACAAAAATACAATAAAACGAACCAAATTAGCATTGCTGCATCAAAATTCATATAACTAGATTTTGCATAGACATCCTTAAGCCTCGGGTATTCTTCTC